GAGCTCGTTCTTCAAGTCAACCAGAGGCATTGAGGAGGCACCAGAGGCAACAAGCTTTTCTCAAGTTAAGCTCAAAGTTGACAAAACGACGGCACTTGTACACGACACACACAACACACTTACACCAAGCAAGCTGAAGGTAACACGGGCTGCAACTCCGCGGCTGTTCCGTAGCCTCACCAAGCTCTGTTGAAGGGACATAGATGCCGTAGCTCGCGGTTCACAAAAAATTCTAAGCGACAAACCCGCGGCAAAATACGACAAGTTCGTTTTCACAGTCTCGGACAACCGGTTCAAATTCATTCTGGCACCCAGTCGGAAACTTTGAGGCCTGGGAGTATGTGCCACTGGGGCCCTTTGGCGCCAAGAACTTTGGCACCACCATCTCACCTTGGGTGGCGACTTCGGCGAATGTGCCACGAATCAGTGCCACCAGGGCTTGCACAATTTTGGTTGTTTGGTGCTATCGTTGGAATGGATCATGTGTCGAGTTGGTGTGTGTGTGTGTGAGTTGCCGCATCTTGCCTTGATGGCCTGTACACTTGTGTGGCGCTGTTGGCCATTTTGACCAGTCTTTGATTCTTTTGGCTTTGACCCTACCGTTCATGTCTTAGAGACAGTTTCTAACTTACGTTTGATCTGGGGTCCTTGGCTGAGCACTGAGTCGTTGAGGTCACGCCGGATGCGCTAGAGCCCTTTGTGTGCGCCACCTCTGCAGGGACGCAGAGTGAGCCACAGCCACTGCCATACTTGCAGGAAGAGCTGCTCAGCTGAGATCAAGCGAGGGCTGCTACGTTCGACAAAGCCGTCGTATGAGCAGTCATCCAGGGTGCATTGGGTAGCACGGCTTCGAACCACCGCCGGGAGTGAGCCCGACCAAGGCAAAGAGATTGAATGTTCTTTCGATGTCCAGTTTGTTGAAGCTGAGTGACAGCACTCGGTGTAGTAATTGTTGTAGTCATGGTTGTGGAAAGAGGGACTATGCCCTTAGGCAGAACGTAGGAGAGAACACAGTGCACAGCCATTTCACGCTTTATGTATGTAATGCAATATCATGTAATGTTATGTAATGTCATGTAATGTAATGTTATGTAATGTAATGCAATGTATTGTAATGTAATGTAATGTAATGTTTGTTTGTTTGTCTGTTTGTTTGTTTGTTTGCTTGTTGAGCATACCGCGCTTCAGGAACTACAGCTCTTACGACATCAAGTTGGCAGTCGATCTACACACACCGAGCAAAGCAGGCACTGGTGCAAGTCCAGTGCACGGTTGTATGCAAGGGAGATGGAACACCTGTGTGTTGTTGAAGCAGTTGGTCCAATTCAAGCTTTCTAAAGGTGCAGGGCTTGGCACAGCTTGTCAACTTGTGCTTCTTTGCGCTTGTTTACGCGTAGGAAGCGAGAAGGTCATCACCACGATCACAGAGTCCAACTTCCGGCACATGTATTGGACTCCGCGGCAGCGGCTCCGCTAAGCATTACTTGCCACCAGCTTTCTTTCCAGGCGTGTGGTTCTATCCAATGCTGTCTTGTGCTTTCACCTGCGTATAATGCACAACGGACTATGGAAGATGGAGCTTATTCGATGGACAACTGCTGCCTGCTCATGCTCCTGGGGTTTCTTTAAAGTGCATGTGAAGCTTGAGTCTGTTCCCCAGGAAAAGGAAAGGACATGTGCATGGCGCAACTCAATTCCTGCATGCTGTCCACTATCTTGCCATAGGTCGAATGATTTCAACTCCTCGATTGGGTAGGCCACGGCTTTGGCCCCAGGTGGATCCCAACCGCAGAAGCTCAGTTTTTTACTGCCGACGTCACAAGGCCATGCCGAAACCAGCATTACCCTGCCTCGGAACTGGCACGCGGTTCGGTTTGAGTGGACAGAAGGAAACCCAGCTGGGTACAGTACTGTTTTCTCTAAACAAGTCGCTGGCGCTTGCCAATCGGATAACTTCTCGTTGAATCGGATCCCAAGCGCCAAGATCGCCAAGCGCCAAGCGCCAATGGCTTGAGGCAGCTGGTGCACCACAGTGTCACGGGCTGCAACATGGCGCCCGGGGATTTGTTGGGCTCTGGCACCATTTCGGGCACTGAGCAGAGGAGCCGCGGTGTTCCGAGTCTCCAGTCAGCCAGGTCCGTCGGCTCATTTTCTGGGACGACAAAGTCTGAAGGTTGGCAAGGGTCAGGGGTTGCAAAGTGTCTCTGAGATCGAGGTGCAAACTGACAGGCGATATGGCTGTGTGCGGATTCTTCCAACTGGCTGGCTTCCTTTTACTACCCGCGGAAAGGGTGGCTCAAATGGGGGGAGAGGGGGTTATTTTGGGCATCCCTCTTCGGATGGTTTCGAGGGAACCCCTCCTCCCCACAAAACAGTTGGCCCAGGCCCCTCATCCCAGGTTTTGGAGGCACATGGGAGCTGCGAGTTTGTGTGTGAACAGTGCTTTGTTGGATAGTCGGGCAGGTTTGATATATGCATCTGCGTTTGTTTGGGGCGTTCCAATTTCCGCTTCAGAGAACAGATGGAGTCGGCAAGTATGGTTGTGTTTCGCAATGGCAGCACAGGTGTTCGAAGCAGCGCACATGCAGAAATTCACTCTACCAGTTGACCAAGGTCACTCTGCTGTCTGCCCACAGGCCCAAATGTGGTCATTGCAAAGTGATGGGCACGGGCTTCCCACAAGCATCATCCTCAATGCATGTGTTGGCATGGCCATATTGTATACCATGTTAGTCAGCTGTGGTCAAGCCATGTGGCTGTGGGTCAAAACCAATGGTACCATTTTGGGGTAGGTGCACCACCCATTTTAGTCTATTTTAGTGGGGATTGGGATGTTCACTGGGAATACGGGCTTGTGACCCTGTATTCTTTGTGGCATGCCGCAGCTTTGGTGCTTGACACAGGAGCTATGGCTCCATGCTGGAGCTGTCCTGGCGGGGTGCCAATGAGATTCCCCTGGCCGACGGTCAAGTTCGCAAGTTTTTGCAAGACGGCGATGCGCCTTGGAAAGAGCCGATGGGACTGAGGGAATGGGTGGGGGATGAGAGTCTGGGAGCATTCCAAGAAACAGTGAAAGATTCTTGAGGAGTCTCCCAGCGAATATACTTGTGATCACTCACCAATGAGCTGTTCTCAATGAGTCTGGCGATCAGAAGCAACACGTCAATATTTCCTGTTGCCCATTCAATCTGCATGCAAGCTTGTCTTGTAGGCAATTGCACTTGTTCAAGTCTAGCGGTAATGGGGCAGCATTCCAGGCCGCTGATGATGCCATGCCGCAGCAAGCAGGCAATATCACGGCAATAAAACGCACAAGCGTTAGCCGTGCTTGCCTCGGGTGTGCTCCCCTACGTTTGTTTCTCCGGCAACCGCGGGAGACTGCTACTGCCAGGATCAGTGTGGATCTGCCGTGAGATGGCCTCGATGGCCGTGGCTCATTACATGGCCGAAACAGTGGTCGCGGCATATCATGCCGGCACAAACATTTGGAGATTAGCCTTCTCACTGCTTCTCACCAAAGAAAGCTCGGTAGCTGCCCCAGGTTGGCCTGACTTGCTGCACTTGCCTTTCAGTAGTGAGACAGGCTCCAAAGCAAAGGTGGCCGGCCTGCTGACTCAGAGAACCAACTGCTGGAAATTGCATGGCTGCAGGATAAGTTTGTGCACTAGGCGCCGTATGTTTGGCTGGCACAACACACATACACAGACACACGCACACCCACACCCACACACACATATTGGGAGTTGTATTATATGTTTCTTCACATGTCAACCACTTAGGCACATATTTCATGTGCGTTGCTACACGTTCACAAAGAGCAGTTTGTGGGGGTTCCCAAAAAGCGAGTGGCTCTTTTGTTTAACAGTTTCTTAAACGAAACGAGCTTCAGGCCTTTTGCGCCCTTCGCGCGTTTTGCGAGGTCTGCAACGTCCGGGGCTTCTGCCAGGGCGAAGGCTTCCGCGTTGGCTTTGGGGACTGCTCCGGGGAGGTGCTGCCAGCTGGGACGCTGGATCAGGCCTGCAAGCCGTGGGACGGGCGAAAGGCCAAGGTGTGCTGTAGGCGAAAGGTGAGTCATGAAATGTCATGAGGAGTTCATTGAGCAGTTGACGAAGGCTTGCAGGGTGACAGCGCAGTTCTCCATGCCCTGAGGCGCCATGCATCAAGAGGCAAGAGCAGGCCCTGAAGGACTCATTGGGGGAATCCGCATCGGAAGACTTGCCACAACATGTCTTGTGAACAATGAATGTGGTGTTGGCATCAGACCACGACTTAGTATTTGGCGGGGCCAAGCCAAATTGACTGGAACTTCATGTCGGAGTCGTAGAAACAGTCGCAGACATGTGAGAGCTTCTGATTTTGGGCACAAGCGCTTGGGCCGACCAGGAGTATCCAGTTTCACAGGCCGCCCGTTCTGTGGTGCTTATGAGCCTCATGGGTATTTGATGCCAGGGCCCTTGCTATATAGAAGCCGGTGGGACCTGTTTTGAACATTCCTTTGCAAGGGACCCATTTTTCTAGGTGCCAAGGTGGGATGCTGGCACAGGACGTGGAGCTTTACGGCTACTGGCGCTCTGGCTCCTCTTGGCGGGTGCGGATCGCCGCTTGAGCCGCCAGGTTCCTTCCCCACATGCGGAATCTGTGGAGGTTTCAGATAATGCGACATGAAGGCAAGCAGTTGGAGCTTCTAAGTTTCAAGATAAAGATGGGGGATGGCTTGAAGTGAAACGATTCTTGTCAGACATCTTGGCTTGGTGAGCCTTGGTCTTTGCGGCTGTTGGCTGAGGCCCTCGCGCATCATGGTGTGGATTTCAAGAACACGCCAGCGACAGCCTCAGAGCAATTGGACACCAGGGATTCGACATCTGGCCATGTGGGGTCGCACCATCTAGCACATTTTCTAGCTGCTCCTTGGCCGCAGTGGTGCAGGCCAGTCAACTTTCAACGAAACAGCTTGGCAGTGCCGCCCATTTAGGATTTAGCCTCCGGTGCCAACTTCTGGCTTTGTGCAACCACGGGCCCCCTCAGGTCACTTTGAGAAATGGCATTTTTGGCTGAGGTCAACCTGCTGAAGGATGAGCAAAAGAGTCCAGACTTTGTCCCAGCCTGAGTGCATGGATATGCATGGATGTGCATGGATTTGACCAGGGAGAACCTCCGGGCGACATGGTGGTGCACCTGGAAAATGGCTTTTGGGACCCAGGCAAAAACGCCCGCGCCTCTCTGTTGTATTGAAGGCACGCCCCTTAGAACCATGCAAACCCACTGTAAACCGATAAGGAGGACAACAAGGGACACGGGCGGGCGGGTGGGTCTAAGACCCCTGCAATGTACTCAGTGCACATAAATCCCTGGATAGATTTCTTGGACAGGCAAGGGAATCTCTTGTACGGAGAATGTGTGGACGCAAGGATGTGTGGACGCAAGGACGGTCCTGATGTTTATCTCACTTGATTTTTGTCTCTCACTGAGAGCAGCAGCAAGGCATTTTCAACCTACGCAGTGAAGCACTGTGGAAAGCAAAACAGAAGGGCCTTGAGCCCAAATGTCATGAGACCGCTCTCAAAAGTCTATTCATACTTGAAAGCATGTAAACCACCGTTATGGGTTTGGCATGTCGCCTCTTGCAGGCCTTGAGTCATATGCGCTGACGCAGACAGTAGATGGAAGGAAAAGGCGTTAGCCGCCTTTAGCACTTTCTACCCACAGTGGTAGCGCGAGCCATGTTTACGAATCCTGGCCATGGGCCAGGCGCTGCTTCGCCTACGCCGAGGCCATCCTTTTGGACCTTCGCTGGTGGTACTAGCTCAGGATCTGCTTTGGATCCTTGGGCACAGTACCTCGCGGACAATCGACCGCGACCGCAGGGTGACGCTTCAAGCCGAGCACCTGCACCTGCGGCACCAGGCCCTTGCCAACCAGGAGGGCTTCATCAAGGACCTCCTGGCAACCTTGCTTTCGGGCCTCAGCCTCAAGGACTGGCCCCTGGCAACCTTAGTTCTGGAGCCCAACCGCAATATGGAGGTGGAATGCCGGGCTTCCCAGCCAATGGTGCGTTCCAACATCCGGGACATTGTCAATTCCCTTGCCTAGCACCGCAGCAAGGTCAACCCCACCACTCAGGCGCTGTACCACCTGGTTTTCCTGGAGGAGTTGATCCGAGTGCTGCGCCCCCTGGTTTCCCTGGAGGAGTTGGACCGAATGCTGGGCCTCCTGGACCATCTGACAGAGCTGGAGGACTACCACCGCCCGGAGTGAATGCGTCTAGCTTTGCGGCCGCTTTGGATTCACCCCAAGACAACACGGGTCCGAGGCGGGTGCTTTCTGCTTTTGAGATGCTGGGAAAGTCGCCACTTCCTGATCGAGCGCATCAACATGGACATCATCAAGGTCATGACCAGCTCATCGCCCAAGCACTGAGCCAAGCTCTGACGGGCGAACGACGAGCGATTCCAACCTGGAATGGAGCAGCTGCGACTTTGAGATCGTGGCTGAAGCTGCTAGCTTTATGGGAGTTTGAGAGCCAGGTGCCGTTGGAGAAGCGCGGCATCAAGCTACTGCAGAGCTTTCAGGAAGGCTCTCAGCCGAGGAGGATCGCAGACACTGTGCCGACTGAGGTGCTTCTTTCAAGCAGAGGCTACAGTGCCATCCTCACGGCCCTTCAGGAGAAGTACGCCCCGGTGCTCGAGGCCTCGGGGCCGAAGGCCATCGACCGGTTCCTCTTTGAGGGCGAGCGCCAGAAAGGGGAATCATACACTTCGTTCATCGCGGCGAAGGAGATTGCTAGACAAGAGATGGAGTCCTTCCTTGGTGAGAAGGTTTGTGACAAACTATGTGGCCGCATTCTCCTACGCCAAGCTGGACTAAATGAACTTCAGCGAGAGATGATCACCCTGAAGGGGCCGATCCTTCGTGGCTTCAACGAGATTGCCGAGATGCTTCGGCCTTTGGACAGGCCAGAGATGCTGGCTCGGGGAGAGGACACCAAGGTGACCAAGAACTTCCACCAGGAGCACTACTTGCAGGAGTTCCCCGAGAGCTATGACTACGACCACTACAGCGGCAACTTCGAGGACCACGAGGACCACATAGACTACCCGTACGAGTACGAACCGGAGTGGGAGTACGAGGATGAACCGGAGAACCCGGTCGCCATCGATGACGAGGGCAACGCTCACTTCTTCATGGAGGACCGTGAGTACACGGAGGAGGAGTCGAAGTACTTGGAAGCCTACGTCTCCGCCTACCGAGATGTGAGAAAGGAGCTACAGAAGCGCCGCACTGATCGCGGTTACACTCGGAGAGGCCCGCCTTTTCGTGATGGGAAAGGTGGAAAGAAGGGTCGGGGCAAGTTCCGATTCTCCGGCCGTGGAAAAGGGAAAGGTGGTGATAAAGGAAAGGGGCAGGGGCAGATGCGGGGAACGTCAGAGGACCTCATTCTGCGAACCCGCTGCTTCAACTGCAACGAGCTGGGCCACTACGCCAAGGACTGCCCGCTTCAGACCAAGGGTGCTGGGAAGGGCATCAACAAGAAGATGTTCGTAGTAAGCTCGGGCAACAACACTGCGACCCAGCCGATGGTTTTCATGATGACCACCAACCTCAAGGAGATGCCCCAGACCGATGCGAGAACCACACAACCAACGCTTGCGAAAAGGCTGATGATCTTCGCCGGAGTCAAGTGCCGACCACAGGAAGCCTTGGTTGACACTGCGGCTGAAGATGCAGTCATAGGCAGCACAGCTATGAGGCAGCTCACCATTGAGCTGCATCGAAGAGGACTTCGACCTCTGCCGGTGAGCGCTGGAGTTCCACTTCCCGGAGCTGGCGGCATTGGTGGAGCCGCGGTAGTGGAGTCGATGATGGAGGTGCCTTTGGGGATAGCCTCCAACAACTGTGTGCTGAGGTTCACCATCCTCAGAGACAGCGATCAGTTTCAGACCCCACCGCTGCTTACCGTCAGCTTCCTGGAGTCCGTGGAGGCGATCATCGATTTGCAGAACGAGCTGTGCATCATCAACGGCACTCCTACGCCAATGACGAGGTTGCCATCAGCACACCGCACTATCAACATCTTGGACTTCGATCAGGATGGTTGGGACCTTCCGGTGGAACGACGGAAGAACCCCAAGATCGATCCCTTCAAGCTGCCGCCCAAGGGAACCACGAACTTCTTTGAGGGCGGCACCATCACGGTGTGGCTGCAATCAACCAAGGGCACGACCTTCGTGCAGACGCTTCCGGGAGGCCGAGACCACCTGGTCATCCCCAATGAGTGCAGTGGTCTTCCCAAGGAAGGCTTGTCCCCGCATCGACGGACATTCGCAATTTTTGCAGACGGCCACGACATCACCATTGATGATCGTTGGCCAGGCCCACATGGTGCTCGTGCCCTGTCAAAACCATGGTCAGGCTCGGTCACTTTTCATGTGGGCGGTGACGGCGAACAACCTTTTTGGGAGGAGGGCGCGACAATTGCCTTCCCCGACGATTCGCCGCCACCGTTTTCGACTTCACAGGCGGCTTCAAGCAGTAGCCGCCCGCGACAGGACCCTTATCACAGAGTGCAAAAGGGCCCTGGACCTCAAGTTTCACAACACGCAAGCAATCAACCTGAAGCATCAGCCACCACAAGCACTTTCACCACATGCACAACATCGCAAAAGCAAGTCAGGTGGGCCGACCAGCAGCTCCCAAGGAACCCTGTGAGCCCCCGGAGTGCATGTGACGGTCATTGTGCTGAGCAGTTTTTCATGTCTGATGACGAGGTTGAAGATGCAAGTGAGAAACATCACACCACTTTGGACTTGGAGAACGAGTTGGATCGGCCGCAGCCGAGCTCAATGCTTAGTCGACTAGTGGCCCGGATCCTGCCCGTCCTCTGCTGCCATGGCATCGTCACTCAAGGAGAGGGCAGCTCGCTTGGTGAGGGAGACCACGGAGCTCGAGAAGACCGAGAAGGCCAAGAAAGATCCGTGTTCAGCTTGGAGGAGACTCTCGCTGGCACTCCTGGCTTTGATCAAGGTGGCTCAGGATCAAATGATCGTGGACTATCTCATGAAGACCAAGAACGAGGACTTCGAGCAGGAGAAGCTGAACCTCCAGCGGCACACCAACAAGAGCCTGAAGAAGAAGACCGTGAACGACATCAGGCAGGGGATCGGCGCCCAACTGTCAAGGTCGGTAGCCCAGAAGAACTGGAACCGAGAACCAGCCGAATGTCCCCACGAACACGAGTACCTACGGCACCGAGCGGGCCGGGGTTGCTATTGGTGGACGTGCCTTCAATGCGGATCCCGGTGGGAACGAATGCCACTGGAGAACGCCACAGCCAGCAGCAGCACGTCTACGGTGAGGTGCAATGCGCCAACGACCGAGCACCCCAAGGTACTGCCGCCGCCACGCAGCCGCCAGGACATCAGCTTCAAGAAGGTCACCGTCAGCAAGGTGACCAGCTACCCCATCAATTCGACGGTCACGTCGGAGGGCCTGATGCAGGAGATGCCGGAGGACTCAAAGGAGCCCGGCGGCACGACCCTGGAGAAGACCAACGGCGAGACCGACCACAAGTCCAACCAGAACGAGGACCGGAGCACATCCCAGCAAAGGAGTCGGGGCAGAACTCTCACGGGAACCTTGCCGACACGGAGGGCCAAGACACCAGTGAGGTTCAACATGGACAAGGAGGTCATGGAAGTCCACTCCGACACGGACACCTGGGACGATGTGCAGATGATCGACCGGGACATTGTGGCCAAGTCCGAAGAATGATCTACCACTCCAAGCAGTTGGAGAAGCCGCTGCAGCAGAGAATGGGCCTCATGCAGAAGCTCGCGTTCGTGATCTGCTGCACATGCTCTACGGCATGCGGCTACGATGGAGCTGTTCAAGCCCCATACGCACCACGATGGCTTGGAGATCCCTCTGAGCTTTACCTCTTGCACGACGAGAATTCATCACAGAAGTGGATGAAGGTGGACCTACGTCGTCCTGAAGACTTCACGAACTACAGGTACAACCACGCCTACTGGGTTTTTCCGTGCAACTACAGCAACAGCTACTGGGCGATGGAGGACGACGAGTGGCCACAGCCAACCAAGGAGATCCCGAAGCAAGTGAAGACCTTGATCTATGCCACTACCAAGACGAAGTACGGGGTGGACGTCATGGAGATCTACAGCCCACCCCGGGTCACTGAGAAGGCAGAGAAGGTCGGGATGTCAATCGGAGGCGCTCTGGACCTTCGGAACGGGTGGGACTTCTGCATACCCGCTCATCGAGAGCAGGCCCGACGATTGGTCGCAAGACTGCGGCCAGCATTAATCGTTTTGAGCCCACCGTGCACCACGTTCAGCCCCTTGCGCCGGTTGTCCAATCCGAAGAGGCAGTGGCAGATAGTGAAACAGGAAGAAGATGAAGGGCGTCAACACTGGCATTTTGCTTTGGAGTTGGCGGAGGTACAGCACAGCAACCACCGAGGCTTTCTGCTTGAGCATCCGGCGCCAGCTTCTTCATGGCAAGACCAGAAGGCTAAGCGACTTCGTGAACGGCCGGATGTCTACACCATTCGCCTCGACATGTGCGCCTTTGCTCTGACCACCAAGGAGGGCATCCCTGCCAAGAAGCCCACAATCATGGTTACCAACGTGTGGCCCTTGGTGAAGACCCTCAGCAAGAAATGCCCTGGTGTTGAGAAGCACCAGAAGCATCAACCTTTGATTGGTGGTCGAGCAGCAGCAGCAGCACTATACACACCTCAACTGGTGACGGCCATCGTGGACGGCCTGAACCGACACCTCCGAGCACTTAACATCCATTACCACAACTGCGAAGAACCGCCCTCGTTCACTACAACCACTACCTCAAATCGGCTTGGCTCAGCCTTGCCGGACCACCTACAAGCACTTGCAGACGAGATCAGCAACACCATGGCGCAACCTATGGCCAACTACATCCACCAAGAAACCAGCTTCGCCGAGGAATACCTCAAGTTTTGCCATTACCAGCACTTTCCATCGCACAGAATTTTGGGAGGCAGGCAATCATCTAGACCTGTTTCTGCGCCGTCTACGGCATCTGTGCCTTCTACGTCGAAATCATCAGCGCCTTTGGAACCAGTGGAGGAGGAGTTGGAAGGCCAACTCGAAGCGGAAGAGCGTGACACAGAACGACGTGAAGGTCGCCCGCTTCGATCCCGAACGGCTCGACCAGCTCTAGACGATGAAGAGAAGGACCCTGCGATGAGAAATGCAAACAACTACAGCCAGTCGGAGAGACCCCATCCCTGCAGCGAGCAGCAAAGCAGATTGACTCTCTGCGGAACCACGAAGATGGACAATGGTCTCTGGCGCCTGACCTACGTCGGGAACTATATCGGCTGCACCGGAACCTCGGCCATCCTGACAACCAGACCTTTGTGCGGGCATTGAATCACGCCAACGCCAAGAGCGAGGTCATCGAATGGACCAAGAAGTTCTTCAACTGCCCACTATGCGAGGGCCGCCGGAAGCCTACAGCCCCTCGACCTGGATACCTGGCACGAAACCTTCCGTTCAACGAAGTGGTCGGCGTGGATACCTTCCTACAAGTTCCACGAGCAGGAGAAGATCTTCCTGAATTGCGTCTGCTGGGCCACAGGGCTGCAGATTGTGGAGGAGATCCCCCAGAAGACCGCCTTTCAGACCTTCCAGAGCTTCGCGAAGATCTGGTTGGTTCACTACGGCCACCCGACCATCGTGATCATCGATCAGGGGACGGAGTACACCGGCCAGGAGTTCCAAGGGCGACTACATGACATGGGCGTCATGGTGCACGCCATCGACGCTCGGAGCCCTTGGCAGAACGGCAAGACGGAACGGGCTGGAGGCATCTTCAAGGAAAAGCTCAGCCTCCTGCTGGAAGAAATCGTGGCTACCACGGAGGCGGAGTTCAGCCAGTGCGTGTGGGAAACGCAGATCGCACGCAACCGCTACATGAACAAGAGCGGGTTTTCGCCGTTCCAACGAGTGTTCGGATACACTCCCAGGTTGCCTGCTAGCCTGGCCTCGGACGATGTCTTGAATCCGATGCTGGTGCAGGAGAGTGCCACGGAGTCGATGAAGAGAGCCTGGCAAATCAGAGATGCCGCTGCCGCAGCATGGATGAAGCAGCGGGACTCCGAGATGATCAGGAACTCCGTGAGGAAGAAGACCCGAAATGCGGACCAGAAGCCCTTGGAGGTGGGAGACTGGGTCTACGTGTGGCGGGACACCGAGAAGTACAAGGGATGGAGTGGCCCTGGAGTCATCATCGCCGAGAACGCCAACGGCAAGTCCTTGTGGATCAGCCTCCGGAACCACCTCATCAAAGCTTCTCGAGAACAAGTTCGCAATGCTACTTCAGAAGAACATCTTGGAGCCGAACTCATCCGGGAGCTCTCCAAGGAAATGGTTGACGACATCCACCAGGGCAAGATCAGGCACTATCACGACATCGAGTCGGAGGGTGGCCCTGGGGAGGAAGAACAGTGGCAGGTTACCATCTCGGACCTGGGAGCTTTGGATGAGGATGGTAAGCAAGAAGTTTCTGCCGAACAACCACCAACGCCAGAACCTCAAGCACCACAACCTGGAGTTGCCAATCGAGACATGGAGATCGACGATGACGAGTACACGCCCGAGCACTTGGATGGTGTCCTCACTGGAGCTAATCGACCTGAGGCTGGAGACATCACCATGGAGGAGGATCCCACCAGCCTAGGCGACAACAGCGCTAGAGCACCATCTGTGGCACCCGAGTCCACAGACGTCAAATGCGGACGAGAGCCGACGGACATCTGTCCGAGTGGATGAAGGTCGTGAAAACCGAATAGAATTTGGACCGGTGAGGGTGCAGGACTCGGCATCGAGACCGATGCCATACCCGTTCTCTTCGGCATCACCTATTCCCTGGCCATCACCCACGTCACGATCGTTCTTCATGGAAGCAGTGTCCTTCGACGAGCCGAAGCCCAAGTTCACCAAATGGAGCGGTGACGGAGATGGAGCAGCCTGGTGGACCGATCGCCGGACTCAACGAAGCGGCATCGCGCCACTCGATGACAGGTGCTTCACCCTGAACGAGGCGGAGGGCTCGTACAGCTACAAGGACCGCTGCATATACTTGACTAAAGCGAAGACTTCGCCTGGACAGGTAGTCTTCAACAAGCTCTCGGAAGAACACCTGAAGATCTTTCGAGCGGCTAGAGCCAAAGAGGTGAATTCTCTTTTAGAGACCGGCGCCATCACCATCCTCTCTCCGGACGAGTCCCGCGACTTCCGCAGGGACTACCCCGAGGGCATCTTGGACTCTCGCTACGTGGACCGATGGAAACCATCTGGTAAGTTTGCGGTGCTGCCGGAGGAGTTCGACATGGAAGGCTTCGAGCCAGCCAAGCACGAGGGCCTGTCAGCGAAGTCCCGATGGTGTGTGGTGGGGTGGCAAGATCCAATGATCCACCACATCGAGCGCGCCGCTCCGACACCTCTGACCTCGAGCATGCACCTGTTCTTTCAGCTGGCAGCCTGCAGAAAATGGCCTGCCAGAGTGAAGGACGCGAAAACTGCATTCTTGCAGAGCAAGCCGACCACCCGGTCGCGGAAGCTGGCATGCAGAATGCCACGAGACGAAGCCTTTGAGGGCTACCGCGAGGACCAGCTGATCATGCTCAACACGGAAGTGTACGGGCTTGTCAGTGGGCCAGCCTGGTGGAGACGCAGTTTCCTGGAGATCCTGGTCAAGCAGCTCGGATACCGCATCAACTGCTTTGATCGCTGTGTGCTGACCCTGGACTCAGAGAGCCGGGAGACTAACGCAGCCACGCAGGGGATGATCGTCATCGAAGTGGACGACGTGCTCGAGGCAGGCAACAAAGAACATCAGCGCAGGATGAGTGCCCTGGAGTCAATGCTCAAGTTCGGGAAAGCCGTGGAGTTGCAGAGTGATGCAGCTGGCACTGGGTTTGCCGGACGGCGAGTTTGGCAAGAGGCGGATTTTTCCTTCAGCATCACGATGCAGGACTACATCCAGAGCCGCTTGAAACCCGTCCGTCTTGAGGCCAAGACCTTGAAGTGCCAGGCCAAGGATAAGACGCTATCCGCAGAAGAGATCTCTCAGCTCAGAGGGACTCTGGCCAGCATCAACTGGGTTGCTCGTGAGGGACGCCCTGACGCCTCAGCAGCAGCTAGCATTTTGGCTGGATGTTTTCCGACGCCTTCGGTCGCCGATGCCATGGAGGCCAACCGCGTCGTGGCCAAGATCAAGGGCCACCACATCCAGCTCAAGATCCACAGCTTCCCGGAGGAGGATTTGCGGCACTTGCTGATCGCCGACAGCTCCTTCGACCCAAGTGGCAAGTCAAAGCCACAGCATGGGTGGCTGCAAGCCACCACCACAGACCAGCTCAACCTCGGCAAGACCGCTCCGGTGTCTCTGATCACTTGGAGATCCCGGAAGCTTCGCCGAAAAGCCGGATCTACGAACCTGTGCGAGGCCATCAGCATGTCCACCGCGCTTGGGTCCATGGAGAAGCAGGTGGCAATGCTGGAGTCGCTAAGGTTCTCCCGGTATAGCCCAAGGCACCGTTTGGAGATTGAGGACGACGGAGGATTGCAAGGCGAAGCATCGGTGATCGCCTCGGAGAATCCTACATTTCAGGACCCCGCCATGATCGCGGTCATTGATGCCAAGTCAGTCTTTGACTCGGTCAAGAATGAGCAAGCGCAAGGAGAAGATGATCGAGCTGCCTTGGAGGTCGCGCTGATCAAGGAGTCGCTCAGCAAAGTGAGAGGCCGCATTAGATGGGTTCCTCATAACGAGAACCCGGCAGATATGCTGACAAAGGTCAGCGGGGCACACGAAGAGCCCATGATGAGGCTTTTGGCCACTAACACGTGGCGCCTCGAGAAAGAAGAGGAAGTCCTGGCACAAGGCCGGCAAGGACTTCACCGCCGCAAGACGACGGCCAAACCCACTTCAGTTTTGGGGGCTGAAAGCATGTAAACCACCGTTATGGGTTTGGCATGTCGCCTCTTGCAGGCCTTGAGTCATATGCGCTGACGCAGACAGTAGATGGAAGGAAAAGGCGTTAGCCGCCTTTAGCACTTTCTACCCACATACTCAAGCAAAAGCAGAACAACGGGCCCGGGGATGGGGGGGGGGGCAGATGGGGCAGAGAAGACCGCTGGCAACTCCGATAACGAGCCGACAACCTGACCTGCCACGCAGTCAGCGTCACCAAACGCATTCATATTTAATGAGATTCACCTCCGACATGACCTTGTCATAAGCCTGTCGCACTCTCTCTGAGCATTGTTTCTTATGGGTTTGCCTGCTATTGATGAAGCTGCTCATGAAAATTGCTAGAACCAATTGGAATTGGATGTCTCTATCCTTCAATCTCCTTTTGACTGGCCTGCTTCGGCCGCGATCGCATGAGGACATTGACAGCTCATGTGCATGTAACATGTAAATATATACATATATTCATACACAGTAAACGTAGCCACAAGAATATCATAAGAGTACGCTTAACTATATTGAGAATAACAGTGACAATGACAACAATCAACATATTAAGAGTATTAACTACTAATCGCAATCGTGATACTAGCAATATAGTAATATTTTACTGTAGTGCAAATATATACATATATATATATAATGATAATAAGAGTAACAAACCAAGTTGTTACACCCAATCAAAGTTTGTTGCTCGAGCTTCACCCCGACCAGAAGATAAGTTTGAAGCTCAGGTGGAGCAGTCCAAGATGGCCCAGGCCTATTAGACCAAGTGGACGGGGTAGCCTTGTACTTGGAACAGGGTGAACCCCCGGTGCATTCGCTTGGACCAGCATAAAGGGGCATGCAGCTTAGGCGGCATCGTGTTTACTGTGGGAAAGCTGGTGACACTGGTCGGCCTCCACCAACGCGGCACCCCTCCAAAGTGGTTGGGGGAAAAAACATTGCCAGACTAATATAACAACGATGCCCACCAAATGGTTCTCATTCTTCACACGGCCCAGCGTGTTTCCTAAGCTGTCACGCACCCTTGTCCCCGGAGGTGCCCACTCTGAGCTTCACGGATGCTGCCGGGCAGCGCCAGAGCCTGACACAGTCGCTGGCCATCATCGAGTTCCTGGCTGCTTGACCGCGCTTAGCAGTGCAAGCTGGGCTACGTGCTCGAAATGTGGGGAACTCAACGACTCAACATTTAGGCAGGAGGCGGTGAGTTTTGCCAACGCATGGTAAAGTGTGCAGATTGCCAAAGACATTTGTCCACATCCTCGGAAGCTCTGGCTTTGTAGTCAACGACAACACCGATATTGTGGCCCAAAGCAATACTTTGGGGTTGTACTTGCTCCTCCAACCCACCTGGAACTGAAAGCGTTTCTCAAGCTTGCGACGCCCGAGCAAGTAGGTTGTGCTGCATCGTGACGGTTTGCGTCAAAGAGACATAGAAGACCATCCAGGGAAAAGGCACAAACAAAATGAACATGGGGTTTTATTTTCAGTCAGCAGTGCGAGTGAGTGCTGTTTGTGCCCAGGATGTGCTCAGTGACTCTCCCCTTGTCCCTCCAGCAGATGGCACACCAGAAGGCCGGGGTCGGAACTGATTCCCTTACAAGTTTAGCACATGAATGGGATGGGCACAGGTTTGACTGATGAGTGTCATTCTCTAGTCTGTGGAGGCATCCAGAGCGAATGATTGGCACGATAGACCAATAGCTATACCAGCGCCCCGCTTCGATCAGTGCCCTCGTGCTAGAACATTTGAGACAAGCTTGGTGTTGGGTCTACGTGGCTTGCCACTCGCTAGCTGACTCCCTCGCGCATCATCCATCGAAAGGGAGGCCAGTTCCAGTCACTTCGTTGAGCTTTCCGTGCTTGCAGTATTACACTACGGCCTGAGCCCGAAGGCACACTTCGGCGTGCTCGAGCATTGGAGATTGCCGAAATCATCAACTCGGGCACGTAGCCCGTCATGCACAGCTTGCAGCCTTCGCTCGGGTTGAGATATGTGATTTGGACGTCACTCAATTCAACTTGTGGTTCAGATGGGACGAAGGACTTGTTGCGAATTTCTCGCCGCTATTTAGCCTGGGGCGTTCAACACGTAGACAGAACAAAGAGGCAATGCTGTGAGAGCATTGGCCCTGAACACTTCGAGTAAATCGCAGTGCAGCCTGGCAGATACGTGTTATCCGACTCGTGAAGCATTGGCCGGTTCTTCAGGCTATCTTACGAGCACGTTCCTTTGGTGGTGTTCAACATCGCCGTTTGGGGACAAGTTAAAGTGCGCTTCTTTTTGGGGTGAGGTTCAAGGCGGAGATATCAAAACCCCTGTTCAAGGGGCATCGCCGAATCGCTTTGCTTTGGAAGGGGCATACCAAGAATCGCGGGGCCCCTCCCCTCCCCGCAGAAGTTGGTCGATCTTTGCCATTTGCTGCCACGACTTGGTGTCCGATTGCAAATGCGGAGAATTACG